TGGTGAAAGACTGCTAATTTCCACATGTCTACCCATCCATTCAACCACCACTCCACCTAGCCAGTTACCATCCCCACATGCATCTGTCCACTCACCAGCCACCCATCTAACCATCCATACGCCCATTTTCCACCATCCACCCACCCATCTGTCTGCCTGTCTATCCATTTTCCTACTCAATCACCTATCCATCCATCTAACCACTTATCCATCCATCCATCTGTCCAATTCACCTATCCATCCACCTACCCACCCTTCTATCGATCCATCCAACCACCCATATATCTATCCATTTACTGTCTATCATACATTGACTTACATCATCCAGTACCCATTATTCATCCTATCTTTATCGAGTGTCGCGACCGCCTTGACCCGCAAGGATGACGCGACAACAGGTTCTTCTTTCAGACGGTTTATTCAGGACCTTGTTTACAGCTTCTTTTCTCCTACTTCTCTCCTGCCCGCTTCTTCCTGTTTCTCCTCCCCATCCGCCCCCGCGCTCCGGTTATAAGCCTCCTGGATGGCCAATCCTGAAGCGCCACGTGGCATATACCGATAGGGCTGCAAACACGGAAGCAAACTAGGAGCCAAGTCATAGCCATATAAGGAGTTGTTTTTTACAGAGAGCACTCGTCACGGGGAAGACGGAAGGCGGGAGCCCGCGCCATCTTAGGAAGACGGAAGGCGGGAGCCCGCGCCATCTTAGGTCGCAGCCGCACCACGCAGCCCCGCCATTCTAGCTACAATGTTGCTTTTGCAGCCGTCTTTGGTCGCGGCTCCCGCAGCTCTCCACAATCGAGCACTTGTTGCTGTGCACTATTTTCAGATCTAAGGATTTAGAAAGAAACCAAACAAGCACATCCCTGCCCTCAAGAAATGTCCCTTCTAGCACAGGAGCCAGATGACATTATAACATCACAATAAAGTAAGTTTCCTTCTAAGATGCGGTATTGAAAGCTTCTCATAGAGTTATGTTAGACCAATACAACAATACTCTCCCCTCAAAAGGAATAAATTTAAAAAAAGAAAACATTGTCTTTAAACAAAAAGAAAAAAGCTGGAAGTGGCGCTGTGGCTCAAGTGGTAGAGCGCTAGCCTTGAGCTGAAGAGCTGAGGGACAGCGCCCAGGCCCAGAGTTCAGGCCCCACGACCGGACCCCCCCAAAAAAAAAGGAATAAAGAAGTCAAAATAAACAGAAGAGATTCAGCAGCAGTAAGCAAAGAGGCACAGGCTTCCAAGATGGTAACCAAGAACAGGGTGAGTGGAACTGCCCTGCAGCAGCCCGCAGGCCTGGGCTCCCAGGCTGGTCCCTGCTTCCCTGGAAGCAATCACCGAAGCCTGAGGAGCCTCACTGGTACCCCAAAGCTGGGCAATGACAAGCACCAAGTTCACCACACATTCCCTCCCTGACTGACTGAGAACTGATAGGAACGGCTGTAGTTGGGGGAGGGGGAGGGGGAGGGGGGAACCAACCAGCAGGCTTGTTCTGGCCACCGCAAAGGCTCTGAGGCTGGAAGCTAAACCTGGGCTACGGGACAGCGTGAGTGACCCCCACGGGAGGAGTGACACTTGACCCAGCTCAATTTGCACAAACAAATCAGGGCCAGCACCGCCTCACCACCACCCCTGCTCCAAGTTCTCCCTGCCCAGCCGCACCCATTTCCTCTGCTCTCCCCACGAAACTGAGAGAGGGACAGGAATGCAAAGGAAGTGAGGCCCAAAGCCGCCCACGCTCTATCAGAACCGCTGAGACGGTGAAGTTCCCCACATAGCAGCAAAATGCAGAGAAAATCTCAGCAACGGCGCAGCCACACTGCAGGGTGGACCCGGCAACGCAGGGTCGCAAATAACCAGAACCAAAGGAGGAAGTCCCTCTCCCGCTCACACTCAGGATGTGAGCTTAGCTAGAACTTTGGGTCCACCCAGCATGAAGCTCAAAGGTGGAGCAGACAACAGAGCAGAAATGAAAAGGTGATCTGGGATTTAAGGAAACAAATGAGGGCATGGTCACTATGCAATCAAAACATGAAGTACACTGCACTTGCAATCCTGACTACTCAGGAGGCTGAGATCTGAGGATCAAAGTTCAAAGCCAGCCTGGCCAGGAAAGTCTTTGAGACTCTTTATCTCCAATTAACTACCAAAAAAACCCAGAAGTGAAGCTGAGGCTCAAGTAATAGAGTGCCATCCTCGGGCAAAAAAAGCTAAGGTTCAGCAACCAGGCTCTGAGTTCAAGCCCCAGTACCAGCTCTAAAATAGAATAGAATAGAATAAATATATTAGATGAATAAATGCTACTGCTGTAATCTGAACTATAATGTAGATGAAAAATTTAAGATGGTCGCAGTGAGTATATAGGAGAAAGAGTTGGGTACAGGAGAGACAAAAAGAAAACATGATTAATGACTAATATAAGGTTAAGTAGAGAATCCAGCCCCTGGCTGCAATCCTCAGTATTACAAAAGAAAAACTAGAATACTCAAATGCATTTCAGTGAAATAGAGGACTGAACTATTAGTTAACAATACGATAAACTCGTTCAAAAACCGTGGTACAGAAGGTGAAAGACTGAAGCATTTTCTGAGGCAGTGAGCTTGGTGATAAAGAAATTCTCCAGATCACGCTGGGAAAGCCTGGCCGGACCCGGCTCCTGCACACACAGTCCGGACCAGCCCTAGACCCAGGCACGGCGCTGGGTGTCATGCTGGGTTAGGCAGCCTTGACAAAGACCTGGAGATGCACATACTCAACAACGCCTCCACTCCTGCCGGGGGATAGTTCCAAAACTGATTGCTCCATAAAGTCACAGATGAGTGGAGGGGTGCTCCTAAGGACATTGTTCATGGCAGAAAGAAGCTGGGACTGCCTGTCAAGTGATGGAAAGCAGGAAAATGCCTGGCTTGTTCAGAAAGCATTTGCCTGTAGCTGTTGTAGAGGAACAGCAGCTATTCGTTCATGGGGAGGGCTGGGGGGGGGGCTGGCCCTTACAAGCACACTGCTTAGTGTGCTAAACAACAGATGAAATCAAAGCACGCATTCCCTGAGGGAAGTTTCCAGCAACGACGGAGGTGGGAGATGAGGGCCTGGGCATCAGTAACAGCTGCATGGCGACTGCCACAGTATTCCCTTCCCACAATGGTTTATAAACCTGGGCTCTGCATCTACATTACCAACCTAGTCACTAGATCACGAGTGGGGGACGGCCACAGCCCACAGCTCCCCAGGTCCTTGAAAAGCCTTTCAGGAGGCGCACAAACAAAAGAATCTCACAAGGTAGAAGTATGCTTTCACAAGGATTTATTTTAATGGCACAAAGTAGGGAGACAGGGGGGAAGGGGAGACACATCTCCTGCTCGCCAGGCAGGACAGGGGAGCAGGGATTGGAGAGGCCATCCGTTGCTCGGCTGTGGGGCTCACGCTCTGCTGAGCTGGGCCAGCACGCATGGCCATGTGACCGCTAATCATCAGGCCACCATGAGAGGCTGGGAGGAGCAGACCTGGTCTGGGCCTGTCCACCTCCCACACTCCTGGGGTCCACGGGCGTCGCCTGCCCCACATGTTCCAGAAATTTCCACAGCTCTTTCTCTGCTCTGCAAGTCCACTGGACGAGGTTTTCAGCGCTGGCTGGGGCCAAACCCAAGGGCTTCCTTCCTGGTCAATAGCAGGTAACGCCTCTGTACTAGACTCCTCTTCGTTGTTGCTATTCTCTGATGGACTTCCATGCGGTTATCAACCTCTACCTCACACAGCTTCTCTTTTTAAAAGGTTTCTATGCTTTTTAAAAAAATAAAACTTCGTCTAGTAGAAGGGGCTGATGGATCCAGATGCCAGAAGCTGAGTAGAATGTAGTTCTGGCCCCGGGTGCCGGATGGTTCCTGTGACTGGGCTGTTGGTGCTTCAGGCGCAGTGGGGTCCAGAGGTCAGAGGGCCACACCCTCACTCCAGCCTTCTCTCCCTCTGATTCTCGGCTTCTCTGCCTAGATTAAATGCAGTCACTCGGGACGTCCAGGTGTGCCGCGTCATATGTTCACAGGCCCAGCCAAGCCTCCGGAGAGCGCCCACACGGTCCCAGTGAGTGCCTCCTGTTCATCCCTGAGCCCACAGGAAGACGGAATATTCTGGATCGACAGACCTGGGCCACGTGCCCTCAACTGGGGTCAGTCCTGCTCCATAACACACAATGATCCCCCAGACAGCTGGTTCTCCTATCTGAAGGAGAGAGGGAGGGGGAAGGGGGGAGAGCCAGAGGTGCGCACCCCCCCCCCCGTCTGTCCCCGGAAGCACCCAGGCCTCCGCGCCACTCCCTGTGTCGGCAGGCTTCTCGCCCTGGGTCCCACCACGGGCTTTCCACAGGGCTGGCCTCACCCTTGGACCTCCCAGCACCTAGCACGTGCCACCCAGCACCTAGCACGTGCTACTTAGCACCTAGCACCTAGCACGTGCCTGGCATGCACCAGCTACCGCACAGTGAGTGCTTATTGGAAGTTAGTATGAGCTGGGCACTGCTCAGTGAACAGTTGGCTCTCACTATCAAGAAGACGAGGCCAGCTTTTGTCTGTCTGGATTTGGGATGTCCCTCAAAGGCCTATGTTTTAAAGGCTTGGTCCCCAGCCCATGTTGCCACCAGAAAGGGATGGAGGTAGGGCCTAATGAGAGGTCTTTAGATCACTAGGGAGTGTCTAGAGGGGACGACAGGACTCTGGCCCCTTCCTCTTTCCCTCTCTCACTTCCGTGTCATGACGTGAATGGCTTTGGTCCACTATGCCCTCCCTCCCCCCCATCGGAGACCTGAAAACAACCGTCCGCCCCACCGGAACCTTCCAAATGATGAGTCAGTGCCCATCCCCCCACAAGAACCTTTCTCCTGTACGCGTTTGTGCTCCTAGATACTTGTGACAGTGGATAAAAGACTGACTGACACAGACGTCCATTTAAATATACGCATGCTGAAAACAAGTCACGGTTTAACGGAATCACCCTTGGGGAGCCGTCCTCACCGAGCTCAGAGACCACCCACTGGGGCAGAGGGGCTCCTCACGGTCAAAGGGAGCCATTGTCTAGTGAGTACTCCCTGAAGGGAGGCGTCTGACCACAGCGGGGGGCGACCCCACCGAGGGGCGCCCGCGCCAATGACGCAGCCAAGCACACCAGCCGCCAGCCCATAACATCATAAAACACTGGGTTCCCCCAAGGCCAGCAAACAAAGGAACAAGTGCCTTTCGGAATCAGTAATCCTGACGCTGGGTGCCGTCCAAGGCACACAGAAGGAATCCCTCTGGCAGACAAATCGTCACAGAGTTGCTGAGCAAGAAAGACCTTTAAAAAACCATCTGAGACTGTGCTTTTGTTTTCGAGATGAGCAAACAGGCCTGCAGAGGGGGAAGAGCGTGTGCAAGGTCGCGTAGCTTTAGTACAGAACCCAGAGCTGTCCAGGTCCCAAGGCTTCGTGCCGGCTGGCTTTACCCAAACCATCTCCAGCCTCCACCCAGAGTCGAGAGTGGAGTTAGCTCCGAGAGGGCTCCAGGAGTTTCATGTTTAGAAGTCTTGGTTCAGGGCCAGAGGCTAGCACTTCAAGAGAGACATGGGCTCTGTTCCCTGGAGCCTACCATGCTCAGGAGGGCAGAGGCGACACCCAGACCAGATGCAGGTCCACCAGAGAAGTCCCTTGGGGGCCCCGGGAGGGGGTAACAAATAGTGTTCACAGAACTTTCTGTTCAGCAGGAAAAGCAACTCCCTGGCCCCAGGGCCCTGAGGACTCCACCCCAACATGGCTGCCACAGCCACCTTCCCGCTGTGGGCCTTTCCGCTTCCAGCCTGCCAGCGGGGATGCTGCCGCCCTGGGACGCTGTTAGCCGCTGCTGGTGGAAGCTAACGGCTGGCTGCTGGCGGCTTTGGGACCAGGCTCTGACCACACCATCAGAACAGCCAGGAGTGGGATGCTCTTCCGTGCACAGAACCCCACACCCCAAACCCGAGCCTTCCCATCGCAGGACCCCACCACCACGGGGAGACGTGCCACGGGGAAGGTTCAAGGGCACACGGCTGCTCGATTCCCCACCTTCATCAATCTCTCAATTTAAATACGAGCAAAGCTATAACGTGTATAAGCCTACAACTCAGCAGACTACCAAAGACATCTCAACAAGCAAGAACGTCAGGACAGAAAATGTCCTAGAAGCCAAAGTTCTCACCATAGGAGAAAGACGCGTTTAGCCGTCTTCTACCATGTGTCAGAGCACGACGTAGAGCACCGTCCATATGTGTCTTTTTGTGCTTTTTTGTGTATCACTTCAAATATGTGCACATCGAGTACAAGATGTGAGTATAAAAAGCATCCCAGCCACACCATGCCAGGCCTGGGGCCTCCTGGTGGCTGTGGCCATCCAGACAGAAGCAGGAGGCCCACGCTCCATGCTCCAGACTGCCTTGCCCAGGCTGAGGGCAAGGCAGGGTGGTGGGGCGCTGATAAGCCTTGGTCTGCCTGGTGCAGGGGCTCCATGGGGAGGGAAGGAGGCTGCCGGCAGGGGTCGGGCTCAGCATCGCAGGGGTGGAGTGGGAGGCCCTGGAGGCACCTGACAGAGAGCTGCACCCAGGCCCCACTGCAGCCCTGTGGCCTAGGGACCGGCCGCTCCTGATGGCCTGTGTATAGCTCGCACCCCCCCAGGCCAGCCAGGGCCTTTGCCTGGGGCCCCAAGCCCAAATTCCGCTTTCCCTGAACCTGTGTCCCTGTCCTGAGATGTTGCCCCACACCAGCTGGCTCGTCAAAATGGCACCTGTTCAGCCCGAGCATGACCTGTACCACCCACCGCTGCTCCTCATCAGCACAGTCCAACCCCAAATCCAGGAGACGTGAAGGGGAGCCAGGTCCGGCAGCGGAGGACAGCATCGCGGGTGTCACCTGTCCCCTCCCAGGGCCACCAAAGACGGATGGCACTCCGTGACCTGCACTGCAGAGAGAAACTAACGTTCACACTGCCCAGCGGAGCCAGAGGCCGGCGAGGGCGTGGGAGGCGCGCCCTGCCCCTGTCGTGCCCAGGTGGGGAGGACGCGAGGGGAAATGTGGGGTGCTCAGAAGGCCTCAGGCCTGGGATGCTGTGGGCCCTGGCTCTACCCAGGTGGGGCCACTGACCCACAGCATGTCTCCTGAGCTCACGGCCTCTGTGACAGGCGGGTTAGACTGGGCAGACGTGGCGGCGGCTCACTGCGGGCACGCAGAGGCAGGAAGGTGTGCAGGGCAGAGGCGGACAGCAAGTGCGCATAGAATGTTCCAGGTGCCACAAGTGTCACTGCCATCTGGCCAGGGCTCCTTGTGTGTCTCCTCAACAATGGGAATAATATAGACTAGAACTTGCTTTCCTTTGTATCATTTTGAAATTTTATTTATAGAAGCAAAGATTTGTCGGGATTCCATTAGAGGAAAACGGCAGCAGCTGTGTAAAGGAACTCAGCGCTGCTGCTGCTGCCACGTACCTCCAGATTAAAGAAGCAATGGAAAGTCTGATCAGGCTACAGAGGCCCAGCAGGAAGGGAAGAGAGCACAGGTAGAGTTGAGTGATATTTATTTTAATACGGGCTGTTGTTTGCATCACGTTGTCCCACAAAGCCTCGTGTGTGAAGGACTGGCTCACAGAATGAGCGCTGCTGGGCGGTGGTGGGACCTTTAAAAGGCGGGGCCTAATGGGAGGAAGGTAGGTCGCAGGGTTTGACCTCCAAGGCGCTTTGACAGCAGGTGTTTCTCTTCAGTCGCCTAATGTACTGAAAAGTAAGCTAAGCCCAAACCCAGCATTTCTTCAAGCAATATGTTGTTTGTTTCCTTTTCAGCAGCATGAGCTCCATTCACGATCTACTGTCTCACCACAGCCCCAAAACAAAAAGACAAGGTGATCATAGACTGAAATGGTGATGCAGCGTGAGCCTTCAGTGGGCACCAGTGGCCTGGGCCTGTCACGAGCGCCCAGCCTCGTTGCAGCCCAGTCTCGGCTTTCCATCCTGCACTTCTCCTCAGGGCAGACAGATGCCCGAGGGCTCCCCACTGCACACAGCCGGAGATGGAGGTGCGCCAGCCCAGAGCGGACGGGAAGCCAGTGGGTGCATAAGTCCCACAGCTGGAGGCCTTTCTTCCTTCCCCCTCAGCTCTGTGCTGGTCAGGATTCGCTGGAGAAAGGTGGAAGCCAGTGGAGGGAGGCGTAGATGCGGATGTAGTCTAGTCATCGGCTCCTGTGATTATGAATAATGACAGTTTCAAGGCCTGCGAGTTGGAGACCTGGGGGCTAGAGTGGACACTTCACGCACATCTGAGCACAGGAGACCCAATGGTGGAAGTTCCATACCAAGCCCAAGTCCAAAATCAGATGCCCAGCTTGAAGACGGATGCTCAGGCTGAGAGCAGAGCTGCTGGCCGGGCCTTCAGTTCTCAGGCCTTTCGTGGAAGGAGTTCAGATGTTAATCTCGATCAGAGATGGTCACCAACACACTCAGAACAGTATTTAACCAAGTGTCTGGCACCTAGTGGCCTGTCAAACCAACACACTAAGTAAACTACACACAAGCCCGCCCCCCAGCCTCTGCTTTTGGGACAACCCAAAGCAAACAGTGAGCTTTCCACAGTATTGACCAGGGGTAAGACCCCCCCCCGCCACCCTGGCGGCCAGAAGCCCTGTACACGCCGCGTGCGCTACCTCCGGGGTCCCACAGGACTCCAGACCGGCTGCCCACGACTCCCCGAGCCGGCGTCTCTGAGTGCCAGCTTTGTCCTCAGCCATCTTTGGGGGGCAGGGTGACTATGAGCTGTTTTAGGAGCAAATTCACAAACTGCAGAGCCCCAGGAAGAGGGGCTCTCTGCTTGCCCCACAGGTCCAGCGTGGCTCCTGAGGTCTGCCCTGCCTGGCCAAGCGACCTTCCCCGTCCATCCTGCTCAGCAGTTTGCGTGAGGTTGGGAAGAGCTGATGGGTTTTTCTCTTTTGGTCCAGCTATGACCCAGAGGAGAGCGAAAGGTGGGAGTAGAATGAGAGTCCCTGATGCTCATGTGTGAGTGTGTGCACACCCAGGGGTGTGAGTGTGCACACGCAGGGGTGTGAGTGTGCACACGCAGGGGTGTGTGAGTGTGTGCACACACAGGGGTGCGAGTGTGCACACGCAGGGGTGTGACTGTGTGCACACGCAGGGGTGTGAGTGTGTGCACACGCAGGGGTGTGTGAGTGTGTGCACGCTCAGGGGTGTGAGTGTGCACATGCAGGGGTGTGACTGTGTGCACACGCAGGGGTGTGAGTGTGTGCACACGCAGGGGTGTGAGTGTGTGCACACGCAGGGGTGTGTGTGTGCGCGCGCGTGCCAGGATAATACCTGAACACAGTGAGTGGAAGGTGGTGGTTGAAGATCTGAAGAGTTTGCACAGGAGTGTGGCATGCTCACAGAAAAGCAAGCCGTCCGCTGACCGTGGAGAAGGGAGGAGCGTGAAGAGGAGCTGGCGGCGCCAGCAGAGCAGCGTTCTTAACGAATGAACCACCCGCTCCTCTTGTCCCTCAGCCGCACTCTCCCCGTGGATGGCCGGCGTCTCACCTGGCGACTCCCTCGGTGAGCAGGGCTCGTTTACCCCTCAGTGTCCACGAGCCATGCTAATGCTGGTCCCTCCCAGAGCAGGTCAGGTTCCGGAGCTCCTTCCGCAGAGGCGTCCCTGCCCAGTTTGCTGTGGCCCTGCGCGGCTGCCGGCTCGGGGACTGTTCATGGCGCAGCCACTGGTCCTCTCTGCAGGGTTCTCCATCTGCTTTGGTGAGCGCAGAAACTGAGGCTCGTCCGGGGGTGCACAGCCAGTGGATCAGGGAGCCCAGGTTTACCTGGCCGTGGAGTCCCTGAGGACGCCCTCCTCTTCATCCTCCAGGGCTGCGTCTCCCGGCCTCTGCCCAGAGCCGACGGCAGCAGTCCCTGGGCCTGTGTCCTGACCGCCTTGTGGCGCCCTGTGCCCCTCGTCCGCGGCCTCTGTCCTGTTCTCCGTCCTGTTCTCCGCGAGCCCAGGCAGCAGGCGTGGCGAGCACACGGGCATAAAGTGTCCTCTTCC